ATATTTGCTGTCTAGTCATTACTGCAGACTACAACACAGCACTCCAGGCAGATCCATATGGGCTCTGATCTCTTCCTCATCATTGGCTCCATAAGAGTAAAACGGCTGGCTGTATTTTTTCTTTTCTATGCGAGTTCCGGGGCCCCATAGAGGTGGGGACGGCACTATTAAGCATGTTGTTAGTGTGGACTATTTAGAAATGTGCTGAAACTGGGTGTATTATGCTGGAAGGGGTAGATACTGCCACCTAGTTATAAACCCCGGCACAACATGCCAACTACTCTTGTTAGGGTGATAGCAACAACAACAAAAAACAAAACAAATGAAAACAAATTAGTGGTTTTTACTAGGTATGATGATGTGATTTGCGTGGTGATGACCCCGCTTAGCATGGTCTCCACATTCACAACCAGTCGAGCAAAAAATCCGTGCGACAAACAACCGCAAGAGATACTTGGGGTTGATAAAGGTAGACGAAGGAAAACCCGAGGTTGACTCGTGGTCAGTTGTGTACCAGAGCTGAAAGAAGACAGTCTTGATGTAGTTAGAATGAAGTGTGGTCAACGGTTAGTAAATGATTATTGTGGCATGGTAGTCGAAGTGTACAGCGACGACTGTGGTTGAGTAATTGTGATGGAATAGGAGAAACAAACTGGCAGGATGTATATTGGAAACTGAGCATTGTTTAACGTTCTCAACTGTTGAAAGCTGTATTTGTTCCAAAGTAAACGAGCTTTATTATACTAGACAATTTTTAGTTCAGTAGTTTGCCATTACATAAATAACTTTCCTTCTTCTTTGTTCATCGACTGCAAGTTCTAGTTGTTCGTCCATTTGGATTCTGGATTTGTGCCAAGGCCTAAGATTGTGTGTATCCGTTTTATTGGCTTACTGTGTGCAGTTGGTTGTTACTTGCCGCTCGGGCAGATGCACTCTGACTTCAAAGGAAGTCCCCAGTTAGTCAACTTCTACAACATGCTTGTTGGGGAGGTAGTGGGTCTATTCTGTTTTCCCCCAAACTGAGGCCCCTGGAACCCACACAGGTAACATACAGAACGGTTCGAGCTCATACAATTATTGATATCAACACAGTGTAGTCTACCAGGTCAATCAGTCGGTTTGTCCCCTCTGGGTTGCCACCCAAAGGTTTATCATACCATGCTGAGATTTAAAACCAGCAAGGTAGATTACACAACCCTGTTACACCTCCTGACCCATAAAAAGTCATACCAGCCACTATGACGGATATGGAGGTTCATTGTTTTTTTAGACATGGAAAGTTTTGGCTTCTGACAGCAGTTAGCTGTTGCATTTTTCTCCATGTGTGGACTAAAAGGATATGGTTTGTTGCCCGGCTACCGAGGTGAGTGCATGGTGCAGCACTGTGAGCTGATGATTTCATTTAGAATGCATTTCAGCTGTGCCCAACATGGTTTGTGTTGTGAACTACAGATTCTGAAAATGGAAGTGACCCGTTTCAAGAAAATCTGATGGTGCCTTATGTGATTAATTGCCTGTACAATCACTAATCTTATATAACTGCTCATATAATTGACTGCATTTATAGTGTTAGACTGTTTGTGTTGGCACTTCTGACAGATGCCTCAGGCATTCTGTGCGGTTTTAATTGGTATTGGAATGAAGCAACTATGAGATGACTCCTTTTACTATGAAATTGGTACCGTGATTACCTTCTTGTGGGTTCCGGGGCCCTATTATAGGGAAAACAAGAATAGACCCACTGCCTACCCAAAAGCATGTCGTAAGAGTCGACTAATGGGGAGCTTCCTTTAAAGTCAGAGTTCATCTGCCTATAAGGCAAGGAAACAGTCTGCATAAAATGAGTCAGATATGTAAAACGGATGCACGCGCAACACTCAGGTTCTGGAAAAGGACTGCAGTTTAGAAGTGGATGAACAACCAGAACTTTCCGCAAGTTTATAGCTTGTGAACGCAAAGAAAAAATAATTAGGAGTGACTGCAGCTGAGCTGATGTCAAGTAGTAGTTTTCTCCTTTGTTTTTACTGGCAATAAACTCCAACGGAAAGTTTTGGTTGTTCGTCAACTCCGGACCTTTGTTCTAGAACCTGAGTGCATTTACAAATCTGGCTTATCTGTATGCAGACTGATGGTTGCCTGCCTCTCAGCCAGTTGGACTCTGACAGAACCGACCAATTAGTAGACCCCTATGACATACTTGAGGAGGCAGTAAGCCTAATTTTGTGTTTTCATAATCGGGCCCCAAAACCCAGACTTGGATCAATGAGTAATAAACACTGTGGCTAGAAAACTCAACGGACCTATTAGTAGACCATAAACATCCGAGGTCAACATGAAACCATAAATATTGAGAATTTCTGGTTGTAACTGTGGCTGTTTATAAGCTCCCTTATCTTGTCGATTGAAATTTGTAGCCATAGATTGGGCTAAATTAAGTATTCTTCGTAGATGTGTGTATAATTGAATGAATTTTGTGACTAACATTTTCTGCAGGACAAGACAGCCGGACTTAAGTCAACCATCCTTAGTCCAGTTCAAAGACATACAGTAAACAATATGCTACTATTCGTCCCAAACCTGCACACAACCAACTGTAATTCTACACAGTGTTGCATATCTATACAGATGTATTTATACTATTATCATCATGTGACCGGCAGTAGTGTATGTGTTCATGTCTCTGCACAAATATGTCCGTGTTGGTCTTCAGCAAAGGTGCTGATATCCTTCCATGAACCCGTTATGACGACTGGTCAGATTTGACAGAGTGATAAAGGAAGACAATATGAGAAGAATCTTGACAGCTTTTTTTTCATGGCATGGAAGTGTGTCAGACATGAACTGATGCACACTTTTGGAGACTGCTGCAGACATGAACCAATGCACACTTTTGGAGACTGCTGGCATGAGTGTATCAGAAATAAAATGATGCACACTTTTGGAAGCCGCTGGCATGGAAGCGTATCAGGCAGTCTTCTGCTTCTCCATTCGACATCATTCCTGCTAAACACAGAATCCCATCTGGATCACAAATAGCATTGTGCATTTAAGGTCACCACTTGTACCCCATAGCTTCTCTTGCAATGTAGCTAGCTCCCTTGGGCCAGATCCAGTCTTTGCTGAGCAAAGTTAGGGCAGTACTGCAATATGTGCTCAGGGGTCTGTCTTTTTGCTCCACAATCACAGGCTGCAGATTCTTTTATGCCTATCCTGTGCAGGTGTGCTCAAAGACCACAATGTCCTATCAGAAGACTAAAAATTGATGTTTTTTCTTTCCTGTTGTTTGTTTATGCTGTCACTCTCTGGTCTGTAATCTCTATTCTGCCTTCTCCACTCCCGCTTGAAAGACTGCTTTAGGGCTGTTTTGGTTTCACTGTAGCTGTGTGGTGGATGAGGTTGTGGAAGATTACTCCCAGCTTTTGCTAACTCATCTGCTCTCTCATTTCCTTAAATACCACAGTGGGCTGGTATCCACTGCAAGACCAGTTCTGCTTCCTTGGAAAGTAAGCCAATGTTGGTTCTTAGATCTGCAATTAGTGTATGAACTGATGAACGATTTAAGAGACTGCAAGCTGTGTACAGTCAGCAAGGTGTTATAATGATTATCCCAAGTTACCATTTTTATTGTCCAGCAACAACTGTCTTGTTCTACCTCTCCTGGTGGTCCCCATGATGCTCTCTAATGCTTAACAGACGAAATTATGCTACCTGTCTTTTTCTTATGGTTCTGTATTTGTTTTTCTTCTTAACATTAACCAGCTGTAAACATGAGTGGAAAGTTCTGGCTGTTCATCCACTTATGGATTTTAATCTCGTTTCAGGACTTCAGTTTTGTATGCACATCAATTTTACTGACCTGGCTTATTTTGTATGCAAAATGTTGATTCCTCACTTCTTAAGTAGAAGCAATCTCTGTTTGGAGGAAACACTACACCCCCCCCCCCCCACCTCTGGAATGCAAACAGAGACTGTGTTTACTTTCATTCACCCTGTCCAGACAATTGCCAGTTGATTAGGCTAGCAAAGCTATTTGCAAGTTTCCCCAGACGTATACATACAAACATAATTACAGGTATACATATACTGACACCATAACAAAGAATTGTAACTAATAAATTATGGATAGAACATTTGTATTTCTCTTTCTATTTGGTTACTCTGTCAATCTAAACATTAACATACCACAAAACTGGTTACCTACATCCCAATGTATGAATCTGCATATCACATACAACAGCAAATTACTCAATCACACACACATACAACTGTGTTTACAAAACACATTTAAATTCTTCAGTCTGCCATGGTTTAATAATTTGTGTCACACAGTGTCAAATAAGAATTATGTCCCACGAGCTGAGCAGCAGAAAAGTCTCATAACACTCAGAAAGTTCTCTGTATACATTTATCATTGGCACATGAGTGTAGTAGCAGGGAAAGCACACCACCAAATTTGCCGCTAATATATTAAACTCTACATAAGGCAGTGGAGTCTACAAAGACAACACAGCTTATGCAAGAAACAACCCTGCAGCGGTAGGATAATTCCTAGCTAACAAAGAGAACATGAAAAATTAAGGGGTAGGCTGAATAACTGTCCATGTATACGGGCACAATACAGCTATGGCCTCAGATTAATACAGAAAAAAGATAATGTCAGAACACGTTCCAGTTTGTATGAACTTATCATGTGGCCAATCAATAAGACATGTTTCTGATATTCACATCTTAGCGTTATAGACATCTTTCTATTTTTCCAGATGATACTGTTTTACTGTGCTATGGAAAGGCATGGGAATCACCCAGAGAGGATAAATAGACATAGGTCAAGATAAAAAAAATTACCAAGTATATGTAGGCAAAGGACCTATGCTTTACTGGGGATCAATGAAGAGAAGAAAAGAGGAACACTAACAACCAGTAATTAATAAACAATGTACATTTTAAAAAAAACAGAAATAGCAAAATGGGATAAATGAGCTGAATCTACAGTTCTCTGGTTACTGTGGAAGGGACAACAGCGTCTGTTGGCCTTGTGGCAAGTAGACAATATTTCTGGACCGCGACAGCTGGTAGGCGATGTCTTCAGCAGCCTCAAGTTTCCTCAGCTCCACCAATCCCTCACCAGCTTTACCAAACGCAGATGCTAGAAGTTCTGCGGCCTTGGACTCTCCCTCGGCTGAAATGACGGCTGCTTTCTTAGTTTGCTCAGCCTGGGAATGTCAAGTACAATTCATGCTCAGTTTATTTCAATCAGTAAAAAAAACCTTACTGCCACCAACTTGGGCGCAGCTTGTATTTCTCAATTACCCTAGAGCTATGCCGGTGGTAGTGTACAAATCTGAGTCTCAAAAAGTGGACTGGTCGAAGGATATAGAACAAAAAGAGACACCCTAGTTCCTCAGGCTATGGGCTGAAGCATGGGACCAACATCCCCACCTTTGCAGTAAAACCGTGTTTCATCAACAACAAAAACCAGATATCTATGCTTTGAATTCAGATGGATTTAAACGTGCCAGTCACAGAGAAGGCTGGTAACATCTGCAGCAATGACCCCCAAAGAATTAAAATTATGAAGAAGAATGGTGTGCTTAATCCTCTATATGGCGCTGATCGCCTTTTTTTTTTTAAATTGCAGCTTAAGCAGAATATTCCTGGGTGGATTCTCAATAATTTTAAGTGGCTTTTAGTGTGATGCCCAAAATCTTGTTAGGTAGGTGTTTGAATAAAGATAATAATCTTGTTAGGTAGTGTTTGAATAAAGATAATAATCTTGTTAGGTAGTCTCTGCATAAAGATACTAATCTTGTTCGGCAGCATCTAGATAAATATAATTATCTTGTCTTCTACGCGTTCACAGGCTGTAAACTGCAGCATAACTTTATGGGTGTTCATCCATCATCAAACTTTAGACTTGTTCGAGAACCTCAGTGTTGTGTGCACATCTGCTCCACAGATCTGGCTGGCTTATATGTAGACTCTTGGTTCCTTGCTTATCAGACAGATGTGCTCCGATTTCAAAGCATGCCCCCAATTAGTCGACTCTTACAACATGCTTGCTGGGGAGGCAGTGGGTCTATTCTTGTTTTCTTCACAATGGGACCTCAGAACTCCTAAAGAGACTTGTTAAAGACTAAGCTTTTCTGAAGGTTTTCAGTTTTCTGTCTTTATCAAACACCAGAACTTTCATAAAACAGGGGTCAGCTGACAACTACACAGGAAATGGGAGCAAACCCAGATCAACCTACCTTTTCTACAAGATATCGGGCCCTCTCAGCTTCCTGCTGAGCCACCTGTTTAGCCTCAACAGCCTCTGTAAACTCTTGGCCAAATGTCAGATGTGTCTGGAACAATCAATGAAGCCAGGGATCAGCAAACCATCCATACAACACAGACATGACAACTTCATGTGTTAGTACCACTAGCCACATTAATGTTTTTTGTGGAACATAAATTATTAATCAAAGATTTTAAAAAATCACCACTTTCAGAAAATAGGAGCACCTGTACAACTGTGAATTAAAAAATCATCAGGATACAGGAAATGGAATGCCACAAGCAAACATGCGTGTTGATCCATACAGGAGTTTTTCAACATATTTGTTAAAGTGTGAAGGCACAAGTTTTGAAATGCACTATAGTTTTCACCAGTAACTGATTTCATAGGTCATTAAAGAACCAAATGGTTCTGTGATCCGGTTAAAATTGGCCAGCAGCTGGAGTGCACCACATGAGAATAACAGACCACAAAGCAAGAGGCTGACCAAGAAAGAGATGATTGTAGGGAGTAGAAGAAATTCTACAGAAGAGCAATATGACATTAACACAAGCTATGCAATTAGCAAAAGAAACCACATTTAATTCTTCTCTGGGATGCTTTACAGCATACATTGTAGGACACACACAAAAAAGAAGATTAAAATGATCTGTATAAATTAGATCAGGCAAATTACTTGGATAATACTCATCGTTAAATCCATTAAGACAAAGACAACAATGTTTCAACTACTAAATAAAAAGGAATCCAATGATGAGGTAGAGGGAGACCTATAATAAATAGGGTTTAAAGGAGTCACTAACAAAGTGAGATTTCATAAAATACCAAGCAAGCAGTAACATGGCTTTCTATCATCTGTTAAACTGTGATACACAGCAGCAAAAGAATAAAGCCTACAGGTGACATTTTATCTTAATTCTACTGTGCCCATTAATCAGAAAGTCAGCTGTACTCACCAGGGAAATGTCATCAAGGATGAGCCCAAACTGTAGAGCCCTGTCTGTCAGCTCCTCGCTGACTCTGGTGGATACCAGCTCTCTCTGCGTGATGAGGTCACTGGCATCAAACTGAGCCTAGACATAAGGATATCTCTGGCATCAGACAGGGTATTCAACTGTGAGATAAACTTCTCTACAAACATTCAACCCTGTCTTAAACTGCTCTACAAACATTCGACCCTGTCTCAAACTGAGCCTGGACATAAGAATATCTCCGGCATCAGACTGGGCATTCAACTGAGATTCAACCCTTTCTCAAACTGAGCCTAGAAATAAGAATATCTCTAGCATCAGTCAGGCCATTCAACTGTGAAATAAACTTCTATGAGATAAACTTCTGTACAAACATTGAAACCTATCACAGATGAGCCTAGACATAAGAATATCTATGGCATCAGACAGGGCATTCAACTGTGAGATAAACTTCTCTACAAACATTGAAATCTATCACAAACTGAGCCTGGACATAAGAATATCTCTGGCATCAGACAGTGCATTCAACTGTGAGATAAACTTTTCTACAAACATTCAACCCTGTCTTAAACTGAGTCTAGACATAAGAATATCTCTAGCATCAGACAGGCCATTCAACTGTGAAATAAACTTCTATGAGATAAACTCCTGTACAAACATTGAAACCTATCACAGATGAGCCTAGACATAAGAATATCTATGGCATCAGACAGGGCATTCAACTGTGAGATAAACTTCTCTACAAACATTGAAATCTATCACAGATGAGCCTAGACATAAGAATATCTCTGGCATCAGACAAGGCATTCAACTGTGAGATTAACTCCTCTAAAACATTGAAACCTATAACAAATGCGCTTAGACATAAGAATATCTCTGACATCAGACAAGGCATTCAACTGTGAGATTAAATACTCTACAAACATTGAAACCTATAACAGATGAGCCTAGGCAAGAATATATCTAGCATCAGACAGGGCACACAACTGTGAGACCAACTTCTCTACAAACATTCAGACCTGTCATAAACTGAGCATAGACACAAGAGTATCTAGCACCAAAACAGGACACAAAACTGTAAGACAAAATTATCTATATACATTCAAAACTGTCGCGCAATCATTTTACTTCTTAAAGACTATAAAATATGTCAGCCTGATTCATTGCCTTTCTGACTCAGGCCCACCAACTTGTTCATTTCCTCAACATCTCATACGACTGCTTGTGACTGTCTCAGTACTCAAACCACTGTCTTCAAGCCCGACTTATCTCAATCGTCCTCAGCATACACATGAACTCTTTCAATCCCACAAGGTCCTAGTTAAATATCCAAGGGTGTTAACAATGGCAACACTAGACTCACGGGTATAGTATACTATACATGTGAAAAATTCCCAATCACACTTAGTGCGTTGTTTTAGAGTTCTGTCACTGAGAAAGAATGCCCGACTGCAGACCTGTGTTTTCAGCTGGCTATTGCTTTAGTTAACAGCAATGACATCCACAAACAAGCGTCTCCCTGTAGGCAAGAGTCTTCCTTTCTCATGACAGCTCATGAGCAACCCCCCCCCCCCCCCCCCATTGACCAACAGATCTATCTGTATAAATGACTGCATTGCAATGAGTAGACCCCTCAAATATCAAGACCAACATGTCAGCCTCTACGGCAACCAGATTTGAAGTCTGTATTGTCGTCCAGGGGTTGCCTGCTATAAGGAGGCTTCATCAATGAATGAAGGTAGGGAATTTCAAAATGGGTCACTAATTTCATCTGCCTGACCTGGCCATAAACAATCCGTCACAGAAGTTTTGAAACTCCCTACTCCTCACACACCTTCCCTTCTGGAAGGACAGGCATGTATGACCATACTGGATCTTCATTCACTGATGAATTTCTATAGGTTTCACCCCATCACTAAAAAAAATGGATAACAGAAGATTGCTCCTCTTTGGTGTGTCATTAATGTTTAATGTCAATAGCATGGTTACGGTCATATCTATAACTTTTAAGGTTTTCACATGAAGCCCCCTCGTACAGTGACAAGCAAACACAGAAACATCTTCAAGACAAAAGAATCACTGGTCTCCTTCACCCGGAGTACACAAGTAAAACCCACCCCACATAACAAGATAATCTTGTAACAGCAGCAGCATCAAGGCTATCTCACATACCACTACTGCCTTCAACACTTCAGCTGTGATGGAAGGTAGGACTCTTTCATCATAATCAATGCCCAGGTTGGTGTAGATCTTGGGGAGAGCAGGGACTTGAGGTCTGAACAAGATTCTCAGGGTAATGCTGACATTCTGTAAATCTGAACATGAACAAGATTATCATTCTGATGCTGACACTGTGTAAACCAGAAAAAATGCAGCAGGCTGAACAGCAAAAGTTAGACAGTGATACAAGAGAGGAGATATCAAGGTACAGTCCAACAGCAATCTTTCACAGTGCACAAATAGGAGAGACAGTTAGTTTTGAAGATTCACTGCAGCGAACTGTGGAGAGGCACCCAATTGACTAAATCAATGAATGCAGATGATGATGGACAATGTAGATCAGTGGTCTTCAGTCTGGGGTGCATGACCCCCTAGGGAAGTGCAAGGAAGTCTCAAACAGGGGAGGGACGTTAAAATGGCTACATCTGTACTTGTAAACAAAACAGTACTGTCAGCTTGATCTGGAGCATGATCTCTGCTGTATCTTGCCCAACCTCAGACCAAAAACAGCAGATATCAAGACAACCATCACATTGATATGAGGATACTAAATTACCAGAAAGCTGGTGACTGTTTATTTTATGTAATTTGGCATTTTGATTTCAGTGGGTATTTTTCTCAAAGTTTTCGTTAACAGTGCTTGGGATTCGCTATTTCATCCCCGTTTTAATCTCATCTTTTGTTTATGCTGAGGGGTGTGTGTGAAAACTATTGATGTAGATGAACAATAATGAGGGACACGATAAACTGTGTGAGCTTCTGAATGACAGAATGAAGATAATGATGGCGAATCATGGAGAAAAACAAAAGATAATGAGAAATGCTATAAGTCATGTGTGAATGAAAGAAGAAGACGGCAGATGGTGTAGACCAGGGTTATTCCACCTGCGGTCCCTGGAGGTTGATGGATCATTGCCAGCTGTACTGTATCAATCTTTCAATGCTGGGGCTAGCACCAATGACCCGTGACGATCCCCCTTTTCAAAATGTTGCCTTCCTGTGTGGGTTCCGGGGCCCCACTGTGGTAAAAACAAGAATAGACCCACTGCCTATCTTAAAACAAAAGCATGTCACAAGGGCCAACTAATTGGCAGCTTCCTTCGAAGTCAAGAGTACATTTGCTCAAGCCACAAGGAACAACCAACTGCACAAAAAAAGCCAGTAAAACTGGATGTACATGCAAAACTCAGGCCCTGGCACAAAGCCAAAGTTCAAATGGATGAATAACCAGAACTTTCTGCCGCAGCTCACAGCTGGTGAACAAAGTTGGCCCCTGATTATACTTACTTTTATAACCCTGACGTAGACAAACAATTAGGAAAGTGTGACCACCTACCTTTGCTGCCGGTGACTGTCGGAACACTTCTTGGCCTGGATCGAATGTCAAATATGATGGGCTTTTGAATCCATGGAATGAGGAAGTGTGTGCCTTCTCCAACCACTTCCTCTCTCACTCCTTGTAGTCTGTCAAAAATGACTGCTCGTTGTCCCCCATCCACTGCAAAACATAATCACAACAAACTTAGATTAGAGTAATGTAGGCTCACATTTAATTACAATAATAAATATCCAAAATACAGAGGATTAGACTGGCTGATTTCTGAATTACAACCAGCCATGATAGTTAGTCAATAGATTATCCTCATTGCATGTTGAACCATTCAATATATAAGTGCTTGGATATCCTTCTTAGTAAATAAATCTCACAGCGTGTAGCGGCACACAATACCAGATCTGTGTTGGTTTTTTTAATTCTTTTTTGGATTCCTAAATAGTGCTCTTGTCTGGCCACACCCATTTTAACATGTTCTTGCAGACTGGTCACAGTTGCAGATTCACAGTTATCACTTGATCCTCTCTTACTTCTTATACAGCATTCAGAATATCAGCATAGTCTACTCACTGCCCTCCCCAATAGCTTTACCTGCAAGCCAATCAGCTTGCTCATTTTCTTGCATGCCCTGGCACAAATAAGAAACTGATTACACCAGTGTAGCATCACAGCAATACAGCACCACTACGCAGGTTAAAAATAATATAGAAGCGCATAAGTTCAAAAACAGCCATACAAAAAGATGATTATGTCAATACACTTACATAGTAACAACAAACCAAAAACATGGAGAAGGGAACTAGAGAGTGATTTTTAAAAGTTAGGGAGGATATACTTAACAGTGGAGCTGCATAGAATAGGACGACTTGAGACGGTTGAGGGCCCATGCTCCGTTTGGTAAAGAAAGCAGATGATAAAGATGAATCAAAACAAAAGAGGTTATGCCAATAAAGAGGCAGAATGAAGGAGGATCACTCCAGTACACTAAGAGCATCACAGCAGCCAGGATTATACCAATACAGGATCACAGCAAAGCAGGATCACTGTGATCTGCATTGTCACAGACCTCTGGGTGACCTTGCTGGTCCGTGGCTCGTAACTGGGCCTATGACAGACAGACTAACCTTTAACACACACTGAACCCGAACGCACACAGAGCACACACGACAATCTTTATTGTAAGTACAGGTAAGACAATAGACAGTTGACTTCCCGCTGTGTGGCCACCTATTGCTTGGACCCTCTGGCCGAACGAGCTTTACAGTCGCCTCGCTCCCAGTATTCCACAAGCAATTTCCTGGTGTACAAACCACAGCCCGGCGAGATACGCTCTTACCTATTGACACACTGACCAACCAAACTGTCACAGCCTCTGTCTAGCACAGGGTCAGAGTGCCAAGGTTAGACACTCTTTCACAGAACATGTACATAAATACTCTACACAAGAACTATCCTATTCTAACAGAAAACTGAACATAAACTATCCAGTCACTAACAGAAATACATCCTAACTCTAATACTATCACTGTCTTGCTAAACGTCCTCTCTCCCTCACCGACGCACACCGAATCTCTGGTTCTCTCTACCTCGTGTCTCTTGACCTCGTTCACCAGCTCAGTCCCAAAAGCGGTAATCGTGTTGCGGATTTGTCCACAACACAGTTCACTCTTTATTGAGGTGGCCAAACGCTTTATCCTGAGCGCTGGTTTGGCTGTGCAATCACAGAACGGACTTGACCAGTCACGGCCCTGACCTTTGTGTCAACCCTGGGGTGTCACCTTAACACGCACACCTTACGGTGTGGTACATTCCGCCACTGACTGTACTCACAGGGTTGTGACATGCATAATCATCATACTCATATGCACTGAACTCTTGTGTGATTGGAACACTCAGTAGTAACACTAATACAACTAACTGGTCAGTTGTCAGAGTAACTATTTTGATTTCTAATTACATATTAAAAGCATTTTCTCAGTGCTCAGTTTTTGAAGCAGCTAGGCCTAATTTTAAGAAAGAAAGATGGTAGAATCCCTAAGGACATCCCTCTGTGCAGTACACAACACAAGGTAGAGTAGAATGGTCTGTACTAAGAGACAAGACCAAGTTTAATGAGATAAGAATTAGATATGGGACGGCTAAGCAATAATCAGTAATGTAATGAGTAATGAATGTCTAATCACTAAGGATCCTTGTTCCTGAAATCTCGGGCACTTACTGAACTGATCATTGTGGACGACAGCTTTTTGATTTTCTTAGGAAGTAAGGAAGTGCTGAGCTTCTTACCTAGGCTAATTAATTATCTCCATGATCATGATGATCTCCAACGAAAGATAAAGTATGCCCCGTTGCCAAAACTAATTTAAAATGAACTAACTATTTTACTTACTATACTATTAATTAGATTGCATCAGCTCAGCTTATTAATACAATCTAACAATCATAACAGCCCCAATCTGAAGACACTGAAGTTTCGGACTGCCTTCACAGACAATTATTAAAAGATCCTAACCATAAATAAATAACCAGTCTAGCCATAATTAACGTAATTACAAATATTTCATAAATGTTTTAATGTGAGTAACTCTAACTGCATACTAAACTAATGTCAGTAATGTGTTCAGAACTTGAGAGCAGTTCTGACTTTTGTCTTTACACTTTTAACAAAAATTTAAAAAATATCAAATACAAACAATGACAATACTTTTTGAGATTCATCTGTAACTTAAATGAATGGGCATACCGTTGTATAAGGCAGACTGGACAACACCGCCAGTGACTGCAAGTGCAAGGCCTAGTTTGCCTAAGTTGTTGAAAAGGCGAGCCATTGAGTCGGGAAATAATCAACCAACACCAGATCTGAGGTGAAGAATCCTACAGCATGAGAAGTTTGACGGTAATTTCAACGGAAGGTCATCGGCTTCGATTTCCGGTCTGTCTGTCGTACTCAACAACATTGGTCATTTTATTTGATTCTTCTTCTTCAGTGTTCCTTCTGGACGGTTTTTATGGTGGCTCAGTCAACAAATACACGGAAAAGGGGGGGGGTGGGGGCGAGGAATGGGTCGATTGGAACACACACAACAGCAGTTTCTATCAGGTCATGATTACATTAGGAAGAGAGTGGTGTAGTGATGTGGCAGAATTAGAGGTACAACAACTGATAGATGGAAACTCTGGAATAAAGGATGCAATAGTGTACATGATGGTTCTGTTCATCGGGAGGAAAGACCTGTCTGGGAATTTTTAGCTAGAGCGAAGGAAAAGATTGTGGCAGAACAAAATACTGCCTTTTTACCTACAACTTCAATCATGAGGATGGAGATGGGGGCAATCGCTGCGCTCTGAAGTGGATTGCAGGAAAAAAAAATTTTTACCAGTGTCTAAGTCTCAGTCGGTATTGCGGAGGGTTCAGAATGGACAAATGTGGCAAGAGTGGACACCAGGCATCAGTACCTCAACATTACAGCGATTTGCGTGGATATTCATTCAGTGATATGCAGCAGTGCGAGGAAATGAAAGAGCGTATTATCTAGCTACAAACGTGATAGCTACAGAAACACTCGTACTGGACAAAGAAAAAGGATTCAAAGAATGCTGTGATTCATTTACCTCAGTATAGCATCCTTCGCATTGCATTTCTATTTTCGTGTGGGTTCCAGGGACCAAGTGTAGAGAAAACAAGAACGGAACCACAGCCTATACCCAAAAGTATGTAGTCAGAGTCGACTAATTGGGGGCTTCATTTGAAGTCGGGCTCTATACTATGGGATTTCCCTAATCTCGCGGGATGTGGTCGCTTGTTATACTAAGGATACAATACAGGAGAAGGAATCTCTAATAGCTAGTTAACTTTTTCACCATTAAATATTTCAAACAGAATTTTCAGCAGCCAGCTATCAGAAGTGGCCAGTGTTTCACAAGCATGCCACGCACAACTTTTATCATATATTTATAGTGTCATGTACATTTGGGAAAAAAAATCGGCGTGCTGAAATATATAACATAAATACTTTGCTGTAATTAAAAACAATTACAATATAATACAAAAGATACGAATACAAGTTTTTGAGATTAATAGAAAATATAATAAATTTTAGTTGTAATAGTTTTGCATGTGTCTGGCAAGTGCCCAGCAGTCTGCCAGTTTGGGGAGGTATTGTCGTCTGCTGGCTGATATAAAAGAATTCAGAGGAGTCGTTTGACGTCTGCTACAGTCACAAATTGAGCGTCTATGGCAGATTTGATATCGTTTCACACGGCTAAGTTGTATCTTTTATTTCTTTTTACACATTTTCTTGATGTTTTTTACAGTGTGGAAGTGTTATTAATAATCTGTATATTGTATTATTATTAATATATTGTTATTATGTATATACTGAACAGTCCGGCCAAGCACTTGATGATGATACTGATACCAAAGGGTCTCTGTGGTCGAGCCGTTTGCCTCGCGCGTTGAAGTTGTGGGTTCGTTTCATGGACGGGTCGTTAGATTTACCGGTGCAATTCTTCCTGAGATCGCTTGGGATCGTCGCCGAAGCTACGGTGTTTGTGCCTTATGTGACGTTGTCGAACAGCCTTTCTGTGGAGAAAGACCGAGCCATATGGGATAAATTCCGTGCAGTGAAGTGAAACTAAATGACTTATGCAATGTGAATGTATTACTGTATTATTCATATGTATTTTTTTTATAATGATAGGCCTATGTAGTGATCCACCGCGCCAGTTGGAAAGACGTGATGGTGATGGTGATGTAATAAATAACCGTAAAAATGGATACTCAATAAATGTTTTATACAGTGTAAATATTTTATTCATAAGGTGTGCAATAATAATAATAATAATATGTATTGATCCTCCGTGCTAGTCGATAAGACACTTGATGATGATGATAATCCAACATCAAAAAAGAAAAAAAAGTGGAAGGGGGCTATATATCCCATAGAGGCTAAAGATACTACTACTTTATACAGACTCTTTGAGCCCGGGGCAGAAAATAGTTAAAATACCATACCTCATTCTATCCTTAGAATGATTAGTTTATAATAGAATTGCTGGAATCAGGAATTATAATGAAAGAGTGAACTGGACCCATGGCCAGACTGCAAAACATCGTGTCAGACAACAGAGACCAAACAAGATCAGGGTTGCTGGAACCTGAAATTGGGGGGGGGGGGTGAGGACAGTTAGAGCTGCCTTTCCCCCATACCCTCTCCCTTACAATTTGTATGGGGATTAATCTGACCTCTCTCCTAACTATGTATGGGAGTCCTCCTCTTTGTGAGTTTTGTATTTTTATTTAATACATATATGTGAAACATATTTATTAGCCATTCAATGCGTTATTTATGGGATCCGTTGTGGGGGAAATAAGAATAGACCCACCATTCCCCCCCCCCCCAAGCATGTCGTAGGAGTCGACTATTTGGGGGCATCCTTAGAAGTCGGAGTACATTGCCTGAGAAACAAGGAATCAACAGTCTGCATACAAATAAGCCAGATCTGTGAAACAGATGTTCACGTAACATTCAGATTCTGTAACAATACTAGAGCCTAGAGGTGGACGAACACCTACAGAACTCTACACGCAACAAGCCTGTCTCGACCTATCTCAACATACTCTGTGAATCAGTTACGATTACATGTTTGTACAGCTAATTCCCAATATATGTATGTATTTTGACAGGCAATGGTAAAAGGAAGACTCTTGAGTTTACTTTAAGAAAGAGAAGAATGCTGTGCTCCAGCATAAACTTTGATAACCTCCCATCTTCCATCAGTGAGTTTTTCACACGTGAAGAATTTGACAAGATCTCTGAGTATGAGAAACAGCATCTCAGTAACTTACGGCAGAACTTTGAGGCTTTACGTCGTGCAGGTAATTGCCGATCTGTGGTCTGACATTAATTTATTTGTCTGTTTATTGTTGTTGTTGTTATTATTATTACTATTATTATTATTATTATTACTGTACCCCCCCCCCCCCCCCCACGTCGCTCACGAAACTCCAGCCTGTGTGGCTGTATGTTCTCAGTTGTTTTATCTTTGTCCATAAAGATTTGTCCCTATAGAAAGAAGTTTTGGGTTAGGGTTAAGGGGTTGGTTCTGGGGGCCTCATTGTGGGGAACGTAAAGAATAAAGCTACTGTCCACAACAGGCATGTCATCAGAGTCGACTAATGTGGGACGTTTCCTTCGAAGTCGGAGTGCATCTGCCTAAGAGGAGAGAAACCAACAGTTTGTATACAATTAGTCTGATCTGTAATTTAAGTTCCGGAACAATACTGAGGTCCAGAAGTGGGTTAACAACCAGAACTTTCTGGGGGGTGGGGGTGGGGTGGCACATTATGAGTTAAGAATGACATGAAAAAAGTAGTAGTTGTAATTTATACATCCTGTTTAACCCATCTGGTTTATAAAAGGTCAATTTCTGTGTCTCGAAGTGACAACCCACTATTTTTGAACACTAGTAATCACTTAAAGAGATTTTTTGACGCTGTCATTCTGACCTCTTATAGTGGTATAATGTAATACTTGGTTTTCACGTTGACCCAGCCTAAAACAGGTGACATGTAAAGTCATGGGAAGTAAAGTCAGTGGGATGTTGACCACACGACACCCCCCCCCCTTCCCCACCGACTGCTCAGTGGTGTATAACATATAAGTCTAGTACCATATACCCATAACATCCAAGGGCATGGAACAGGACCCACTGTTTGCCCGAAAGCATGTCGTATGAGTCGACTAATTAGGAGCTTCCTTTAAAGTTGGAGTACATTTGACTGACAGGCAAGGAACCTACAGTCTGCATGCAAATGAGTCAGAAGTGGGAAACGGATGTACACGTAACACTTAGGTTCTGAAACAGAAGTGGCCGAACAACCAGAACTTTCCACTGGAGCTTATAGCCAGTGAACGCAAAGAAGCAGATGAAGAAGAAAAAGAAGAAGAAGAAGAGGAAGAAGAAGAAGAAGAAGAAGAAGAAGAAGAAGAAGAAGAAGAAGAAGACGAAGAAGAAGAAGAAGAGGAAGAAGAAGAAGAAGGATGTAAAACGTGGAGCATGGCCATACTGGAGACCTGGTCTGTGTAATGTCCACATTGTAAAGAGCTGCTCCAAACGGCTTATGACCTCTGAAACCCTATAAATGCCAATACATACAGGTGAATTAATTTCTGATGTGAGCGTAGTACCCGAGCACCTCAAATTTCCAGAGTTTGCTATATCAGTGTTCATGTCCTTTAGGTTTACCAGTGACTCCTCCAGAGTTCATGCTTAGAAATAAATCCGAGAAGGAAAAGCGGAAACTGGTAACTCCAACAATTCTAGAATCTTCTGATGGATCTGACTCTGAATGGACGCCTGCCCTGGAGAAGCCAAGGATATCACAGGGTAAACACAACTGTCTGGTTCATAGATCTGGCCATGGAGATATTATTCATAGATGTCTTTTTCTTTCTTTCTTTCTTTCTTTCTTTCTTTCTTTCTTTCTTTCTTTCTTTCTTTCTTTCTTTCTTTCTTTCTTTCTTTCTTTCTTTCTTTCTTTCTTTCTTTCTTTCTTTCTTTCTTTCTTTCTTTCTTTCTTTCTTTCTTTCTTTCTTTCTTTCTTTCTTTCTTTCTTTCTTTCTTTCTTTCTTTCTTTCTTTCTTTCTTTCTTTCTTTCTTTCTTTCTTTCTTTCTTTCTTTCTTTCTTTCTTTCTGTTCTTCTTTCTTTCTTTATTTATTTCTTTTTGACTGTTAAAAGCATTGTATATTATAAAGTTTAAAAATACCTAATTTAAAAACCTGGAGGTTTCCATCAATCGGGGAAGATTAATAATAATCTATTTACTGGTGAAACTGACTACTCTTAACCGCCAGGAAAAAAAAAATTATGATCTGGCCACTCAGTTACTCGGTACCAACAAGTTTTTAAGAGATATATTTTTTTTTCAGCCCCATACTTTCACTTTGCTTTTTTCCTATTAACAAAATTGTGGTAATAGCATTATCAGCAGCAGCACTGGTAGTCAGCGACGCGGACACCAAGAAAATATTGGGGAGGAGAGGGGCGATGCACTTAGACCCCTGACCAATTTCTAGGCGGCGAGGGTCTAATCCTAGCTCAAAAGCTAACTGATAGTAATAATACTCTGCTGAATGGCAAGTTAATAAAATAATATCAATTGTTTAAAGAAACACGTTTCAGGTAATTTATGCATAGAGCCAGACATATACACAGATTGACCCCACATAACAGTTATTGCTCAAAATTAGCGTGGCGCTTTTTAATGCTACACACACAGAGACACACACACACCACACACACGAAAAAAAAAGACTTTTGGAGAAGAGGGGGGGGGAGTGCTCCATTTATTTCCAAAAGTGTACGGTTTTTTGGGAGTTGCTTGTATTTTGTAAGTCTGTATTGTGTGTGTAGTGTGTGTGTGTGTGTGTGTGTGTGGGTGTGCGTGCCTGCCTGTGTGTGTATGTGTGTTTGTGTTGTTTTCTGAAACCGAATTTTACAAAGTAAAAGTACAACACGAAGGAAGAAAAGAAAAAAAAAGTGGAAAAGGGGAAAAAGGGGGGGGGGGGGGTGAGTGAGGAGGAGAATGGTACTGCATTCATTTTTTTCCCGATTATTCATTGGACTTAAACTTTTGAGAAGGCTCTGTAAAATTTTGCCCCTGTTTGTCAGATTAATGAGAGGAGGTATTGTCTTTACTCAGATTTATATTTGTAGTTCTTTAGCTATTTTTAATAAATTGTTTTGCTTCTTTGATAAATTCTTCTTTGTAGTCTTCACAGTAAAATTCAAACTCTCTGATGTAGGGTTCAAATTACCTCCCTATACATGTTTGTGTATATTACTGGTATATTTTCTCTATTGATTTCTTTTCTTCCTCTTCTTCTTCTTCTTCTTCTTCTCCTGAGTAGAATTCAACCTCTTCAAGCATATAAGCACATCTGCTCCTACTGTTTTGTCTTATTGGGTGTCTTTGATAATAAAACAGAGCTTACAGAAGTTTTAATAATTTAAAAAAAAAAAAATTCTTTCTGCTGTTTCTCCTCATCGGGTTCTGGAGACTTGTTCGGGACCACAGCTGTTGCTTGATATTTAGTTGTGTCTTTTCTTGGAGGGGGGAACACGTCCTCTGTTCTCTAGTTTGTTGTTGTTCGGTGGTTTCCGGAGGCGTTGATTTTGTTGTGTTCTTTGCTGGGGTAGAAGAACCTCTGCTGTTTGTGTTTTAGGAGTTAATAATTTTGCTGTATCTTTCTTTGGGGTTTGAAACTCCTCAGTTGTCTGTTGCTTCTTTTGGAGTGCAGGAGGTACTGGTCTTGTAGTGTCTTCCTTTCGTGATGGAAGAAGTTCTGTTGTGGCTGTTTTTGGTGACTTTTATGTGTTTTCTTTTGTGTGTGTGTGGGAGAGGAAGGGGGTGATTAGCCTTTGTTTTTACTGGATGTGATAGTTTTGTGACCTTTCTTGGGGGTGGAAATACTTCCATGACCTTGACTAGTTGTGACAGCTTTACTTTGTCCTCTCGTAGAGTTAGGAAACCTTCTGCTGTCTTGACCGGTCTTAGTTTTTGAGATTTTCGCTTGTCTTGGCACTTATTTGACCAGTGGCATCTCGTTAACAATGCGTTAATGCAATGCGTCTGCCTGGGACGGTAAATAAGATTCCATAGTTGTGTAATGTCTGGTGTTACCACACGGACATAATGAGGAATCGTTCTTTTTTGGTTTGCAAAGAGCACCCCATTTCCTTTCGTCAAGTTTTATCAGAAAATCCTCTGGGTTATTGTTTCTTGTTGTTTTCACAGTATCTTGGGCTCCCGTAATGTTTATGGTGCTGGGAAGCAAGTTGATTTTTATGCATTTTCGCTCTTTTTCGATACAATCAATGCGAAAAATGATGTCCGCATCTGTATTTTTTTCTAATGCAGTCTTTCGCACATGTCCTTGGGGCAATCTGGAGATAGGCAAGGGAATCATTTTGTTGGGTTCTCGAAGCGGTAAAGGTCTTTTATTCATTTTTGCGGAATTGCTCCGAGTCCCGTCAACATAGCCATCACAACTCTTAGATTGGCCCTTGCAGCTGCTCGGGAACCTTCAGTAGAACATACCAGTGTGCCTGGTATGTGAAGATTTATCCCTTCATATTTATTTGGAGAATAAAGATAGTTTCTATTCTGATTAAAGGTTGTGAAACACACAAACCAAAAATGGCAGAATAATCTTGTTGTCCAGAATCCGTATAAGTTGGACATCTTGTGAAGTACACTTTTAATCCAACACAGTTCGTATTTTATTTTATGGAATATCACTTTGAAACTGTTTATTTATTATTCCTGTTTCGAACTGGAAAACAAAACAGTATACACCACGTCGCAAGCATTGAGTAATATGTGATAAAATTACATATCTTTTAATAGTAGCTAACATCTTTGAATTACGAAATCCGAGAAACACGGTGCCAAATCTCGAATGTTGAGGAAACGGTCTGACATCTTGTCTTAATATCACAGTAAGACTGTCCCAGATTTAACGCTTCCAGTCAAAACTTCTGGCCAAAAGAGACACTCGTGGAAGTCAAACTTTAGGGGCCGCTTAGTGAATTACAAAAGACAGTGAAATTCATACAAGAGACAGCATTGCAGATATAGATAATTTATTTCATGCAAACGAAAGAAGAAGAAGAAATATCACAGTTGTTTACAAATGAATTGATTGTTTGTTTAATCTCCAAGAATCGTTATGGGGAATCTCTGAGGAAAACCCGATCTGCCAGCTTGCTTGGTTTCGCCGTTAGGTAGTTTGAATTTGTAATGTATGTACATTTGTCGTTGACAAGTTTTGAAAACATCAGAAATATAAGGGCAGGAGAAACACACTCGGAAAAAGGAAAGGATCTTTGAGGGAAGAGGGACTAAGAGAACTAGCTCAAATACCAGAACTTTAGCCACGAAAGAGCCGCTAATAAACCTGACCACAAATATTACCGGAGACTGTTGGTGGCTTCGGCTAGCTGACGTCAAGGTGAACTTGGTTGTAATTTTTTTTTTTTTTTACTTAATTAGAAAGGAATGGAATGAGAAGTTTGCACGGCTTCAGCTGGCTAAGAACAGACTGAACGTGGTCGAGCTTTATTTTTGTTTTAAACGGAATCTATCTATCTATCTATTGTCTTCTTCACTTTTACCGGGTTGCAGCCCAGTGTCGTGGTTTAAAATATTTGTTTTGTGCCACTCGCGTGATTTGAGTGACAGTTTTCTGGATCTTCTGGCCGTATTCAGCTACTCCATCTATCCATTTTTTCCTGGGTCTTCCTCTGGCCTTTCTTCCCGATGTTCTACTGTAAAAGGCCTTATGGGCAATTTGATCCGGTTGCATTCTTACTAAATGGCCAAACCACTTCATTCTCTGTCTTTCAATATGTTTCGTGCATGCTCTTGTTCCAACTTTGTCTCTAATGCTGTCGTTTGTGACTCTGTCTCTTCGTGTATTGTTGGTGACCCTTCGGAGACATCGCATTTCACACGTAGTTAAACGGAATCAGATACTATATATCCACAAAAAACTTTGAGGCCATAGAAAAAGCGTAATAAACAAACGTGTTAAATATTGACTGACACTCTTAGATGCACAAGAAAGAAGTAGAGTTAGGAAGACACACTAGACAATATAAACATATGAAGCTATACAGCTATCTGGGAAAAAAGTGCCAGAACACCTCAAGGTGCCTACAAAAATAGTGCTTGCATCCGAGACACGATGCTTTACAAAGTGTCTTATACTCACTATACAGTGTCTGTGACAAAAGCACAGTAAAAAAAATTGCATCAAAAAGGCATATTTTACGTATTCTGAGAACTCAGTTAACACTATTTATTGTAATTAAAACTCTGAGGATTAAACAGGATTTTTTTGAAAAATTACTTTTCTTCTTCTTCTTCTTTCGTTCGCCTGAAATAAGTTGTCTATATCAGCAGTTTTGTCTCTTGAATAAATTTCACTGTCGTTGTTAGTGCATTCAGTGGTCCATAGAGTTTACGTTCCACTGTTGTTCTTTCTGGCCAAAAGGTTTGCCTTAATGCGTCAAATTCGGTCCAGTCCTGGAGCGCATGCTCTGCTGTCTAGTGCACATTTCCACATGAGTGCTTCAAGTACGGATTTAGCATCTGTCAGCATTACTACTTTTACTACTACATTAAAAATTAAAAATAATTGGCCGGTATTGCGTGCCATTGCATGCTGCCATTAAAAAAAAAAGTCTTTGAGCAGAGCTATAGCTGCTTTAACAGGACGCAAACTTGTTCTTACAACAAGGTTTTATCACTTTTTGGAGGTGATAGTCCGAGTACCCTTACTTCTCATGACATTTTCTGGTACCCTTTAAACTAGGCCAACATGATGGATCAGGTCAGTTTTGAAACGATCACTACTGTAGTGGGTAGTCGAACATCTGACTGCAAGGCTAGCAAACAATGGTAACCACTACACTATGGCAACTCTTGTCAGGTAGATGCTCTCAACTTCGAAGGAGTGTGATGAAATGAAGCTGATCCTCTTGACATTGACCGTCTTTTTTAGTACTAAAACTACAGTTAAGATGTCCTTTGTGTACATTTGCAAAAGATGTGGCGGGGAGGGGGGGGGATAAAGATGAGGAGAAGTATGTTCATCAGATTGATAAATCTCTTTGGCAGGCAACACGACAATATATTCACATCAGAAATCACATTATCTGATGCCAGTATCATATTGTCATTTGTTCTTTGTTCAGTGAACCAAAGAAAACGACTGTTTCAACCTCCAAAGAAGGCACCATCAAAAGATAACTCAAACGAGAAAGTCCCAGGACCAACACAGCAGAAGAAACAGGTAATATATCATATATAACACCAAACCTCAATACCTAGTTGCAAAGTTACAATTTAGTCTGGTCCGAATGTCCGATAAGCGCAGCAGGAGATGACTGAGGCCTGGAGTCGTGAACCAGGTCGGCCCACCCTGTGAGATTGTCTAGTAGGAAGAAACAATTGTCGACGAGTGGGACCTTTCTACTGATGGTCGGTGGACTTCTGCTGTGCATGCTCCCCCTGTGGAGCTCTTTTTTTTTTCTAATTGTCTAGAAACTGTAGTACATCATAATTATGTGCTCTGTCAAATGGGAAAGGTGTTCATGTCTTTCACAGGTTTTGTTCCTTGATATTCTGATACTTTTTATTGATATTTCTCCATCCCACTGCCCTAGATCACCCAGTGTCGTTTTTGTCAATTTGCCTCTACCTCTTCCACCACTGGTCTGTGTAGTCATCATAGTATTCTCCAATGTCTTTGCTTGTCGCGGCCTTGAAAAACATTCTTTCTTTCTTTTAATGTACGACTTTTAGGCCAGGCTGATGGTCTGTAAAAATATGGGACGCTCTGCCCATATGCCCGATGCGCCGAAAGGCGTGAAAAGGGAACTTTACTTTACTTTTACATTAGTTACTTTGACTACGCAAGGATCTGTTTCAGGAAGCATATCTCTGCTAACGCTAAGCTTTCTCTAATTTATTAAGTTATATTCCAAAACTGACCGTTGTATCAGTGTAATAGGTTTGACATATACTTTAGTGCTGTCTTTGTGACATTCAATGAAAGTGATACATAACATTTATTCTTCTGGTGCAGGTTTTGCTTTGCATACTGTGCTGCTTATCCCGTTCACACCTTCTTTAATCTGATGTTCTAGTTGTGCTGCTCCTCTCTCCCCACCACAACCCAATATTTGCAATTGCTGACTTGGTTAAGCATTTTTTTTTAAATACTGACTTTTGCGATATTATTTTCTCGTGTATAGTTTTCCTCTGAAATTGTTTTCTTGATACTTTGAAAAAAAAAATTCAGTTTTAATCATATTCTTTAGCAGATAAACTGAAGTAATATTCATGTTAGATCAGCGAGAGAACATTCTAGCTGCTTCTGAATACCTGATTTATGCTTAAAACAAATCAGGTTTACACCTTTACATGAGTTCAGAACGAACGGACGAAACTCATAGATTTGGTCATGTATTATAAAAAGACCAATGAGAAAAAACGTGACTCAGTCCGTAGAATTTCATTCATTCATTCAGTAGCATGTCCCTCGCGGAACCTCGTTGCCATAACAACCCTCCGGAAAACCTTCCTATCATGAGCAAGATGTCCTGCGTCTGATACACCCATCTGGAGATCATCTGCCACATCCTGCACCCATCTTCTCCTTGGCCTTCCTCTTCCTCTCTTCCCAGGCATATACCCCTCCATTATTGTTCTCTCCGTAGAATTTACAAAACCAAAATATACGTTTTAGAGAGGCATGATATTTAGCAGCGGTTTTTGTGTGTGTGTGTGTATGTGTGTGCTAAAAAAAAATAATGTACATGAAATTTCTGGCTCTTTACCTATTGGACATAAAGATAATGGCTAGAGTAACTTAATGGAATATGTTATGTATTTATTGAAGTTAGTGAATTTATTTAAGCTTACGTAACTATTTCAGAGAAAGGAACAGACAGATTCTGAAGATGAGGACGAGGAAGTCCACGTGTACCCATTTCGAAAGATCAGAATGTCAAGTTACATGTCCCTTTCCACACCGGATGATGATGATTATCTATGTAAGTTTAAAAAAAACGTTATATATAGTGATTATGTTATGTTTGTGCTCCTTCTTCTTGTTGTTGCTATTATCAGTCTGGAAGTTGTAATCCATTTTATACAAAGGGGGTGGGAGGACAGCAAAAATAATAAACATATTAATACAAGTAAGCAAACTGAAGCTATCGAAATGCTGGGCTTTTATGTAGAGGACCCAGGTCGGCATCCTTGGTAAGGTATTAAAAGCTTTTTCGGGGGAAAGGGACCAAAATAAACATTTTAACCTGCAAATCCATGCTGACTGCACTAGCCATTTGATGCTAATTTCTCAGGCTTAATGAACACCTTCTCCGCCCTACGGTACCGTAAAAGTTGTAAAAACAAGCAGCATAAATAGCAAATATGAATTCATATTTGTTTCCTAGAAGCACAAATCCCAGTGTGCCATATTTTGGAGCTATTGTACAGTAGCTAGCCTAGAGATAATATGTTGAAATCCCCCCAAGGCTGTCATTGAAATTTAACTGACTTGGATTTCCATGTAGACACAGCTTAAAATTGATTCTATGATATATCATTGGAAGTAAATGGATCTGACGTAACATTGCAAAATCCCCATCGTCTTGATTGTTTTGTTAGAATATAGAGCAAGCACTATATACCCAGTATGAGGGAACAAGGGTACTTTCCTCCCCTATAATGAACATCAAACATTCAGTCTTAGTAAAGATTTAGTCTATACCGTGACATCGTACAGAAGATATAAAGGTTTAGAGAGCTGTAATTCTTCCAATACTGCCCTACGATTGCGAAACGTGGACTGTGTCAACGCCATGCTAAAAAGTTGAATCAGTTTCATATAACTTGTCTCAGAAAGCTGCTTAAAATCAAATGACAAGATTCCAAATACCGTGGTTCTTGATAGTGTAAACCTGCCTAGCATTCACCCGATACTGAAAAATTATCAGCTGCGTTGGGTTGGTCACCTAACCCGCATGCCAGACTATCGTCTCCCAAAGAGAGTATTTAATGGCGAGCTCTACTACAAGAGAAGAGGTCCCGGAAGAACAGAAAAAGCGCCAAAAGGACACTCAAAACTGCTCTCAGTTTTTAGCATCAACACAGCGACGTAGGAGGCTACTGCACAAGACCGTTCTGGATGGTTTTACATAAGTCATGCATGGTGCATCGGCCTGCCAGTTAGCGGAGGTTGCGCTGGCAGAGAAACGGAGGCAGACTAGAAAGAATCGTATTGCTAATCGTACATTTACTGCGGCCTCCACCTGTTGTCCGCACTGCTCAAACTTTCCGGGCTCATATTGGACCAATCAACGACTTTCGTACTCATAATCATTGATCATTACTACTTTGGATGAATAGTGGACTTCATCACTCGTGATGGACGAACAACACACAGTAGATGTGAATTTGAGATAAGGAAAAACACTCTTGTTTTTACTGTTTACTATGTCTTCTTTATACCGTCAGATCCTAAGTACACTAAACATGTTGCAGTTGTTAATATCTTAGCAGTAGTAATTTAAACAATAATATCCTGTTCAACCCATTTGGGTTATAAAAGAGATATATAGCGTTTCTTTTTTCTGTTTGAGTAATGGCCATTTATGTCTGCCAGTTATGTTTGGTTATGCAATATCACACAGCTTATGTTTTAACTGAATAAGATTTATATCTTGCCGTCCTTTTTAGGATGCAATTTTTCGTTATTTGAAGCCCTAGTCTGGCTCTTGCCAGGGGCCGCAATTTAGCCCGGCCATAAATATGGCCTAATGGCTGAACGCGGTTTCTGATACCTCTTCACGGTTAACCTCATTCACATGGTGGCACATTGTGTCATCGGGTGTTTATCGCTTGTGTGATGTCCTGGTGGGGTAGAAAGTCAGTCAGTCAGTGTATAAGATTGTAGGAGTATAGACGTCAAATTCAATATATTTTAAATGTACTGTCAAACAGTTATAGTGATTATATAATGTAGTCTTTCTTTGCAGAAATTTAAAGTGATCTGGGATACCATTATTCTCTCTTAAAATATGTTAACATGTCATATGTTTTTGTGATATACTGTTTAATATCTTTTTATTGTGCTCCTTTATTGTATGTCTTTTCAGATTATTGAGTGGCAATACATTATGAATTCATTATTATTCATGCATTCACATAAAAGCTTATATGCCACTTCAAATATAATTTCATAATATGAAAATCCGTACAAGATATCACACTATCAGAAAGTGAAGCAATAGTTCATATAATTTTTTCTATGTTAACGTGACAGATTGTGAAGAATGCAGGCAGGAATATGACGGGGACTGTCCTATACATGGACCACTACTGCTTGTAGATGATGCTGAGGTAAACTCTTGTTTTTCTTTTAATCATTGTGAAGAGTTTTATACATACAATGTGTTTGTGGTAATACACTTGATGCTTTATCTCACTTTTGATGAATCTAAGATGTTTTGGGTTATTTGCTCAAAGATTGTTATCAGGCTTTATTTTCACCATTGTGCGGACCACTTGTCATCATTCAATACAATTGAGACATGGTGAACACCTTTTATATTTCTGATGTCCTTGTTTTGCATCCTGTCTCTTATGATAACCCTGCAGTATTTTTATCTCACATATAATTAATTCTCTCTGATGGAACGCTGACAGAGACCACATATTGGCAAGAAGTATACTCTACCATTTGGTGTTTGACTTTCATCAAGATCTTCAAGTTAGGAATAAAGGCAACTGATCTGTCTGGCATAATCTTGTTTCTATCTTTCCCTCAAAAGTTCCACCCTCTGTACAAATGCTGCTTAGATGTTTAAAGTGTGACTTGGTTTACTTTGATATTTAAAAAGAAATAATATTGAGTGGACTTGCTGAAGATATTACAGTATTAGTTCCTTTCATTATCTTTATATTACAACTATTACAGGTGCAACAATGTCCAGGAGAATCTATTGAGTACAGCAAGAGAACCCTTCCAGTGGGTCTAGTCATCAAAAGATCCAAGATTCCACATGCAGGTTTGGGCGTGTTTGCTCTGAAAGACTTCCCTGCTCGTACCAGATTTGGACCCTACAAAGGCAAGAAGGAAGTCGATGAAACAATTGCCCATGAGTCTGGTTATAGTTGGCAGGTGAATTCTTTTATACTTGCCTTTTCTCTTATTGCTAGTTCTTACTTTTCATTTATTTTACAACTGTGTATACACATCTTTGCACTGAAACAATCTGTGTTGTTTCCACACCCACACACAAAATACATTTTGTGTTTAAAATGGGTTATCTTGTCAACTTCAATAGTTAGTAACTGTCCACTATGAAATATACAGATATGTCTACAGTTTTAAACAAAACCTTTCCATTTCATTGAAGGTGCCTGTGACATCATGAGATCTTTGTCACCACTGGGGAAGTACTACGTCTTATTGGTGGCTCACTGTATCTGCAAGAGGCAACCTAGTGGTTCAGATATTTAAAAAGACACCAACCCTAGAGCAAGTAGAGCAGTGGAACTGGCTACCAACAGAAACATCACTCTAATTTTGGCGTCGAACAATCTTAAACCTTTAATAATACTCCTACCTCTGTTGGTCAAGCAGAGGCCGTAAATAATGATTACTTAAAACAATTTAAATGGGAAAATAAGAACTGCAGTGAAGCACATTTGTAAAAGGAGTATTCTAGAGAAAAACTATTATATTTATTACTTACTATCACATGCTGGCTGTTTAAAAAGCCAGGATTAAAAGACACACAATCGCAGCAGCATAATGACTCTGTGGAGTCTGTGACACTCTCAAAATATCTTAAAATACATTAGAAACATACAGACTGGCCTAATTGAAAATAAACACTCTAGAGTGAAATTACTACATCCCTCATCAAGTGTAGACTGTTTTGTTAAAATATAGAGCAAACTCTATATACACAGTAAACTGGAAAAGAGGGCCTTTTCTCCTGTATAATGAACATCAAACAAGCAATCATGATAAAGATTTGAGCTAAACAGTGACATTGGACAGAATATGTGAATTAGAGATAAGGAAAGCATTTTTTGGTTCTATCTCAATATCTCCCCCCCCCCCCCCCCCCCAAACAGAAGTTGAATATTTTAGGGGGTGGAGCCTAGGCTGCATGCTCTCGTCTCGTGGGAATTAGGTGGTTTTGGGTTAGTTGAAAGTATCAAAAAGTCGGAAACCCTCCTTTAACACCCTCGAAAATATTGGACTGTCCTGTGACGTCATCCTGTGGGAGATACTGGGGAAAGGACTCTTTTTTTTTTTTTTTAATGTACTCTCCATAACTTATTTGTAGCCAATATTTGATATTAAATTTGCCAAGTCATCTGTTTTTTTTGTTTCGCATATCAGTGTCATTTGTACTTGGTAAAACAGTATCATTAGCACTAAGCAAAATCGAGACCTCCAAATGTGTTTAACACCCAGTCAGTGCCTGTGTTTCTAACACATTTTTTTCCCCATCGTCCAGTGAATAGTTATGCCAAAGAATAGGGGAGATAAATATATTAAAAAATGGATGCAGTTATACATTCACACCCCTTCTCCCTTCCCCCCCCCCCCCAACCAAGCAAGCAGAATGAAATAAAATGTATGGTACTTAACTCATTACACATTTTGGAAGCTTTTAAAATGTAATAATCTATGTTGTTAAAATGCTCTTTATTCATTGTTGTGATCTCTTGATGTTCACATTTTCAGTGTTTGTGTTTGTCAAATGTTATCGTCTCAGGTCACAGAAAGAACAGTATATATATCCAGTTTCGTCCTTTTCAGGACGAAATTTTTTGTCATTTGAAGCCCTACTCTGGCTTTTGCCAGGGGCCGCAATATAGGCAGGCCATAAATATGGCCAAATGTCTGAACGCGGTTTCTGGGACCTCTCCACGGCGATCCTCATCCGCATGGTGGCACTTTGTGTCATCGGGTGTTTATCGCTTGTGTGATGTCCTGGTGTGGTAGAAAGTCAGTCAGTCAGTCAGAAAGAACAGTGAGTAATTATCCAGTTTCATCCTTTTCAGGACGACATTTTTTGTTATTTGAAACCCTACCCTGGCTTTTGCCAGGTACCGCAATATAGGCAGGCCATAAATACGCGTTTTCTGTGACCTCTCCACGGCGATCCTCATCCACATGGTGGCACTTTGTGCTATCGGGTGTTTATCGCTTGTGTGATGTCTTGGTGGGGTAGACAGTCAGTCAGTCAGTCAGAAAGAACAGTTTTTCCATATTCTGAAGCCCCACTCTGGCTCTTGCCAGGGACGGCAATATAGCCTGGCCATAAATATGGCCTAATGGCTAAACGCGTTTTTGGGACCTCTCCACGGTGATCTTCATCCACATGGTGGCACTTTGTGTCATCGGGTGTTTATCGCTTGTGTGATGTCCTAGTGAGGTAAAATGTACTACTAAAATGTGTTTATAATTTGGATGTATAATAGTTGTGTGCATGATGTTCATTTGTCAGATTATGAAAGATGGGCAGACTTCCCACTTTGTGGATGGCAAAGACCCAAGCAGGTCCAACTGGATGAGATATGTGAACTGTGCCAGACATGAAGATGAGCAGTGTGTGACAGCCTACCAGTACCAGGGAGACATCTACTACAGGTCTCACAAACCTATCTGTGCTGGGACAGAAATATTAGTGAGTGCAGTTTTAATGTTGAGGGTATTTTAATTTAATGATTAAGATTTATTTATTGAAACATTTAGAAGTAACTTCTGGTGAAGATTTTAATGACAGCACATATTTCCAGAGTTGAAACATTTGTGATAGAGCAGTAAGTAATACACTAATGTACATCTGAAAACATATAACTTATTATAACCCCTTCTGCTGCGGATTGAACTGGCGCTGTTTTGTTTGGTGAGTAAACTGGCGTTTTCTCATAGCGCATAGGTTTGGCTAAATCAGTGTGTAAGATAAATAAATAAGTCTTTAGCTGACTATTACTTTTGAAGATGCTGTTTGGAAGAGAGAAGGTTATTTATTTTTGTTTTTGAACCAGTTATTACTACCTATTTCAGGAATTTGAATCTTGGCAATATTTGTTTCTGACATTGATAAAGTTGTATGTTTAATTTTTTCTTGTCAGCTATGCTTATTTTATTTTATTTTTATATGTTAGGTTCATTTTCACTGATTATAATAATAAAAATAATAATATATTTTTGTAATTGATTTTCTGCATTCATGTTCTATTTGCTGCATACATTATCATGTTGCTGATAAACAGTCTAGTTTACCATTGTTTTTCTGTATTTCAGGTATACTATGGTGACAGTTATGCAAGGGATCTGGGCATAAATAGTACAAAACCTGAAAGAAAACAGCACAGAGCAAAAAAGGTTCAAGAATCTTCTGTAGATGCTAAAACTGATGGTAGGTTGATTATTGGTTTGACAACATCAGTTTATTGTTATAAAGACCATCGCTTAGAACCACATGCATAGAAACAGGATACAAATAGAGACAAAAGTAAGGAGCTTATGGGAAACAAGTGTTGGAAAAAAAGATTATTCCATCTAAGCTAGAACATCTGATGACTATAACTGAATTTTTTTAAACATGAATTTAAATCATATGCTGTCTACAGACGGGACATACTGAAGTTCACATGACAGACAATACATTCATCTTGTAAATAACTAGACATTGTATCCATCATCAGATTTGTCAAACAAGCACATACATTCAGGCAATAATTGATGTCGATTACATAAAAAGACTAACTTGATTTTTTGTTTGCTATTTCAGGAATATTCTCTTGTGCTGAATGTCATCTGTCCTTCAGTCAACTGAGCTATTTACAGAGTCATGTAAAATATAGGTGTCATCATAAGGACTTAGAACTGAATCACAACAAATTACAGGCTGACATTTCAGTAGGAGAAAATGGCTTGACAAATGTGGAAATTAACTTCGAAAAAGGTGATGTAAATACTATATTCAATGCAACCAGTGATAGCAAACTGGCAGCAGCTACATATTCAAAGAGTACCATCAACTTTGGGAACACAGTGTGTGTCGGTGAAGATATTATTTCTGATCATTTCAGCTCACAGAATGATTATACATGTAAAGAAAATGTTAAACTTGGTGCTTCTGACATAGACACTAACCTGACCAGAGATGATGAAACTGACATAAAATGTGCAGTGGTCAAGTCTTGTGTAAATGCAGATCCTGGTGAGAAGTATAACAAGTGTGATGTCAACAGTCAAGAGTATAACAGAACGTTTCAACAGAAAGACAGAGCAATATTAGCAGGGGAAAAAACTTGTAATTCTGATGGTATTTCTTTATTAGACTTTCCTGAAACCTGTAGTGTACAGACACACACACAAATACATAGAGGAGAGAAGTCTTACAAGTGTGATGTTTGTAATGTTGCATTTACTGCAAGTTTTAATTTAAAGACACACAAAAGAATACATACAGGAGAGAAGCCTTACAAGTGTGATGTTTGTAATGTCGCATTTACTGAAAATGGTAATTTAACGAAACACAAAAGAATACATACAGGAGAGAAGCCTTACAAGTGTGATGTTTGTAGTGTCGGATTTAATCAAAGTGGTCATTTAAAGAAACACAAAAGGATACATACAGGAGAGAAGCCTTACAAGTGTGATGTTTGTAATGTCGGATTTAATCAAAGTGGTAGTTTAAAGACACACAAAAGAATACACACAGGAGAGAAGCCTTACAAGTGTGATGTTTGTAGTGTCGGATTTAATCAAAGTGGTCATTTAAAGAAACACAAAAGAATACACACAGGAGAGAAGCCTTACAAGTGTGATGTTTGTAATGTCGGATTTAATCAAAGTGGTAGTTTAAAGACACACAAAAGAATACACACAGGAGAGAAGCCTTACAAGTGTGATGTTTGTAATGTCGGATTTAATCAAAGTGGTAGTTTAAAGACACACAAAAGAATACACACAGGAGAGAAGCCTTACAAGTGTGATGTTTGTAAAACAAGATTCACATATCGTATTCAACTGAAGCAACACAAGCAACAAACAACTCACTAGTCTTGTAATGTAGAGCTTGAATTATTTAACAAGATCTTTTATATTACACAATCCTTAACAAAAGATTATATACACTCAATAAACTTGTATTATACATTGATGTGTCATGTCTTGTATATAAAACACAGAGAGTGATAACAGAGTCTGTTTATATTTCACAACTTACACGCGTAAGAGATGACACAGGTCCTATATCCTGAGAATATTTTGCTTCCAATCCCTAAAATTATTGGTTTATTTACTAATAGAACACTTGTTCTTAACTTTGACTAATTTTTTGTAAGAGCGCATTTTATAATTCTTCTTTGTGGCATATTTGGTTAGATGTTAAAACTGTTTAATTAAAAGATATCTTGGAGTCATTTTAAGAATGGCAGTCTAGGGGCGAGGAAAGATCAAATATTTGGCTTTCCTCCGAACTTCTACCACGGCATTATGGCGGCCAACCAAATACCCTAACAGGGCCTAAGTCCTATGAAAAATGCGGACTTGTCTGACTTCCTGTCGAGAAACAAATCGCGGCAAAACTAGGATCGGCTCCGAATAACGAAACAAATGCGCTAAAAGGGTCTCAGCGATATGTTAATTGCGGACCTGTTTCTGCGACTATGCCTCACCGCCGACAGTATCCCCTACGCCGCTACACTCGGTGCAGATTGGGGGAGGGGGCTGAACTAGATGGCTGAGACTCACGAGCAGCAGCTACCGCTTCTCCTGCAACTTCCTCCAATTTATTTGCTCGTGAGTCCCAGTCATCTAGTGTAGCCCCCATCCGCGGCGCGGGGGATACTGTCGGCGGTGAGTTTAATCGTGTTTTGCGGTCATTACTCGATACACATCGGCAGGTCTCACATCTACCGCTGCTAAATCCTTAATCGGAAGAACAGTATCGATAATCTGCATCAGAGCGCGCCGTATCCCCGCCATGTCGCTTGTATCATCTGTAATGTTGCGTGTCTCGAAATTGTCGACGGTCGCTATTATCATCTGCTACTATCGTCTGCAGTCGCTATTATCGTCTATAGTCGCTATTTTCGTCTGCTACTATCGTCTGCAGTCGCTATTATCGTCTTCTACTATCGTCTGCAGTGTGTCATCTCTTGAAATTGTCAGTTAATCCTAGTTTTGCCCCGATTTGTTCGTCGCAGAACGTCCGCAGGACTGAGGCCCATTTAGGGTATTTGTTTGGCTGTGGTAGAAGTTCGGAGGAGATCCAAATATTTTTTTTTCATCTGAATGGATAGATTTTATGCCTTTTTTTTCAGAAATATATTTTGACGACAAAAGTTTAAACAAATTCACTGGATGTTACATGTTTAACCACCTAATCTAACTGCAAGTGCCGGAACTGGCTGCCTAACAAGAGGAAATAAAATTTAAGGGCTATCTACCGAATAATGGTCCCAAATTATCGAGGCCGAACATATACCCTAACAGGGCCTCAGTCACATGTAAATTGCGCACTTTCGCCACTGCCGATTACATCTCCCATGCCGCTACGCGCCGCATGGAGTGGGACTACACTGGATGGCTGGGACTCACAGGCAAATAAAATGAAGGAAGCTGCAGGAGAAGCGGTAGCTGCTGCTCGTGAGTCCCAGTCATCAAGTTTAGCCCCAAACTGCAACAACAATGAGCAGATCGACAAAGAGAGTTTAGGTGAACAGAAAGCTCACAATTAAAACAACAACCCTTGTCTGTCAGGCTTGTGTTTTCAGCACTCTGCTTTATGGTAGTGAAACTTGGTCAGCCTATTTGCACCAGGAGAGACGGCTAAAAAGCTTTAACATGCGATGCCTAAGAAGAATACTTGGCATTATGTGGCAGGACAAAATCACAAACACTGAGGTACTGGAAAGAGCTGGTACAACAACAGTCTTTTTCATGCTCAGTCTTCGAAGGCTCAGGTGGTTGGGTCACACCTGGATAATGGAGGATGGCAGAGTCCCTAAGGACATCCTTTATGGTGAATTCAAGACAGGAAGAAGATGTCAAGGCCGACCTCTACTACTGTATAAAGATGTGTGCAAACGGGACATGAATGATACAGGTATTGAGGCGGACTCATGGGAACAAAATGCCATGGACTGTGCTGTGTGGAAAGGGCATACCAAGAAGGGAATGAGAGTGAAGAAAGAAATGATTGCAGAAAGGATGAGAGCTGGGCGTCTGAAAAGAAAGGGATTAAACACAATTGTTGACAAGAATGGTCTTGAAATCCCATGCCATCATTGTGAAAGACTTTTCTTGACACAGGCGTGTCTTGCTAGTCACACTCGCCATCGCCATGGGCTGTGAGTCTCATGCTTCCTCATAGTGCAATATAACATTATCGTCTGGAAAGACGAAAAGGTGCCAGTTCAATCTAAGCTTCAAAGAACGGACAGCATTCAAAATGTACAATCCTCAGAAACCTAACAAATGAGGTCTGCGAGTGTTTGCATTAGCAGACAGCAACACCGGTTATTTATGCACTTTTGAACCATATTATGGTTCTACGACAACAACAAAAGCTGCCATATCCTAGCCTGCCATATACTGCTAGAATTGTGTTGCACCTCTGTAATGAATTGTCTCAAAAAATAAGCAGTCGTAGCTACCATTTGTTTGCCGATAGATATATTACACACGGCATACACTAGCGATGACATTATTAGATTAGGATGTCCATATTACAGGGGCTTTCATGAGCAATAAACAAGAAAAAACAAACATTTTTTTTTTGGGGGGGGGGTGGGGGGGCTGTTGAAAGTAGCTGTTGTGAATAGATTTATTTTATATAAAGAGACACAACCTGGTTAGGCACTTGAAAAACGGAAAACAACTGATCCAGCAGTTTGTTTCCGAACTGCGAGCTTCTCAGCCTGTTGGTCGAGGAGGGCGCCCATCAACCCTGGATGCAGAAAAAAGACCTGACAAGTACAACACTTTATTGCCATTAGAGAAGGAAAGAAGACAAGGAATGTGCAGTATGTAGTGAGAGAAAAATACAGAGGTGACAGACAGCATATTTCTGTGAAACATGCTCACGTCAACCTGGACTACATCCTGGTATTTGCTTCAACAAGTACCACACTCTGACACAATATAGATCAACAGATTTTTTTTATTGCATTTTCAAAATATTTTTTCAAAATAAAAATGAATTAAACATATAATATGTTCTGTTATTTGCTTGTTACAAGAGCAAGTGTAGCCCAAGTAAGTTGCGCATTTTTTCCCCAAAATATATTCTGCCCTGACAAGTCAGGTAAAATTAAATTTGGACCTGAAAAGGTTATTGTGTTTGACTCAAGTGTCTGTGCTGTATGACACTAGTGTGGTATAACTATTACAGTAAACTCCTAT